GGCGTACTTATGTTTTACCATCTTTGAACTCTTCTAGATTGAGCTGCCTATAGTTTTTACCCTGGCTTTTTGAGGTCCCATCCCCCTATCAGATCTTACTACAGTCGACCCCAGTTCAGAGTTCGTGGCCTCAGTCGTTTGCGTATTTTTCCTCCTTGGCAGATCAGCCCAGCATTCCCGCATCATAACCGTTTACAGCGTGTAGCTATCTTGAGTATTTCGCTGAGTGTTCTCGTGTTTCTCGTTTTATTCTTTTTTTGACCACATCCAAAATTCACAGTTTTTCACAATTCGCGGGTGCTCTACAAACGTGACCCCACAAGTTTTGGGGTTTGACTGTATTAGTAATTCTCATCTTATCACTCTTTATGCTATCCATATCTTTTCTTGACTGGATCAGTCTGCCCTTATAGTAGCTTGGACCACTCACACACTACTCTAAGCCAGGGCTTGACAAATCCCAGGCGCCACGTCGCTATGGTGACTAGAAATTGTGTCCTGGCTCCTGGATTTTTATCAGTCCACATCACAGCTGATCACATGTAAACTAAATTTTATAACACAAATGAATAAAAGTTTTTTTTTTTTCATTTCTTTGCAAAAAAAAAAAAAAACCCCAGTGGTTATTAAATACCACCAAAAGAAAACTCTATTTGTGTGAAAAAAACTATTTAAAACATTTCGTATGGGTACAGTGTTGCATGACCATGCAATTGTTATTCAAAGTGTGACAGGGCTAGTTGGCCTGGGCAGGAAGGGGGTTGAAAGTGCTCATAGGCAAGTGGTTAAAACACTCCTAACTTTTTAGCTGGGTCCTAGATTCAAAGCTCTAAGCTCATATTGGGTCTTAAAAAACATTTTGACTGTTGTTATGTCTCCTTAAAAAAAAACAATAACGATGATTTAAACAGAAAACTGAAAAATATGGCTGGACAGCTTTTAGTGCAATGCCTCACACAAGAGTGATATCCATTTGTTTTTCAGTGCCATTTGTAGGAAGTCAAAGTTGTGGTAGAGAACAGTGCCATTTGTTGTGAATGAGGAGGTGGTTGTAGCATCACAGCTGTTCTATCCCTTACAAGATTAACAAGTTAATAAGCCGATGAAGGTTACATGTAGTCCAAGTGAGTGGTTGCTAAATTCATCCCTGATGAGAGGTTTATATTTGGCTTTGGTGAGTGGTCATTTTATAAAACATGGCTGCCTCTTTGTTCTTCTGTCTGGCAGTCACTCAGTCTTTTTATGACTTTCTTTAGGGACAGGCCAGAAATAGACAGTGTGTAACATTCCTGCCTCCTTGCTATGTGTGCTGTGTGCTGTGGTTGGTATCTCTTATCCAGACAATCCCACAGTCCTCATGTGATACTTCATTCTTATGTTATGTTTAAACGCACTTGGGAAGATTCCTGATGTCATTTTTTTCTCACCTGTGATATCTTGATAAGGTACATTTTCACTTTGGTTTTTTTTTTTGTTTTTTTTGTAAATCAATGTTTATTGCATTTATCTATATTTTTATTACATGTACTTATATAGTGCCATCAATTTACACAGCGCTTTACACATATATTGTACTTCACATCAGTCCCTAACCCTCAAGGGGTGTACAATCTAAGGTCCCTAACTCACATTCATACATACATATACTAGGGCCAATTTAGACAGGAGCCAATTAACCTACCAGCATGTCTTTGCACAGGGAGAACATGCAAACTCCAGGCAGGTGGTTCCATGGCTGGGATTTGAACCAATGACGCTAGTGCTGCCAGGCGGAAGTGCTAACCACTTAGTCATGGTGCTGCATATTTATTTAGTGTAGTCTGCATCTACATAAGGCCAAGTGTGGACAAACAATATTTGATACAATAAACCTCGGCAAAAGGAGTAATAAAGCATAAAACCCCAAAACAGGGATTCCTAACAGCACGTAAAATGTGTCAAACACAAGGCCTGTGGCCTTGGGCTGAATTCGGCCCTCTATGCCTTTTCAAGTGGCCCTCACACCTCTCTTGCAGCTGTGGCACCCTTTCATCTCTACCCTCACCTTGCCTCAGTGGTCGGCAGCAGAGAAGAGGACAGAACTCCTCCACCAGATCCTGCACTTTTCTGTGCAGCTGCAGAGAAGCTCCTCTGCTTGCCTCCCTCCCCTGTCCCAGCAGTTAGCAGCAGAAAGGAGGAAAGAACTCCTACAGATCCTGCACCTCTCTGAAACCCCCCTCATCTATGAGTCCCCTGGTCTCAGCATTCAGCAGACTCCTCTAGCTAAGTCAGTGGTTCTCAACCTTCCTAATGCCGTGACCCTTTAATACAGTTCCTCATGTTGTGGTGACCCCCAACCATAAAATTATTTACCCAGTAATTATAATTCATGAGTGTCATTTTACCTCCAATACTGCTACTTTCAACACAGTAGCTGCTTTTAACAGAGTAGCTGCTTTCAACACAGCAGCTGCTTTCTACACAGTAGCTGCTCTTTACACATCGGAAATATGTGTTTTCTGATGGTCTTAGGGGACCCCTGTGAAAGGGTCGTTCGACCCCCAAAGGGGTCGCGACCCACAGGTTGAGAACCACTGAGCTAAGTGATATAAGGGGAGGGTAGGGGAATCTTGACTTCTGATGGTGGGGTGGCTTTTGACATCTGATATAAAAGGGGGGTGGGGTGCTCTGGACTTCTAGTATTACAGATATAACTATCGCTTTGAGGACAACCATAATGCTGATGTGGCCTACAATGAAATTAAGTTTGACACCCTTGACGTAAAACGTGGTGGAAGTTGTAAAGAAAGCAAAAAAATAATTTACTTTTTAAACTACAATGCCGGGAAATTAAGGTCTGTGCGCTATTGCTCTTGGACTTGAATAGAAAGTCACTCCAGCAGTATGGGTACATCCCATTACAACAGTAGTTGTAAACCTCAGACATTAAATATGAACAAAGTATATCCTTCTAGAGTGTGTACTGTCATTTCTGTCTGCTTTATTATTATTATTATTATTATTATTATTATAATACAGGATTTATACAGCGCCAACAGTTACAATATAACGGGAGACAATACAGCAACAATACAGTTCAATACAAGAGGGTTAGGAGGGCCCTGATCCTTGGAGCTTACAATCTAAGAGATTTTTTCCTCTGCTATCAGTATGAATCACATCTGACAAGATTTTCTGACGCCAAGAGAAAAATGGTCAAAAGAGTAAAAAAGGAATATACAGGCCCTAATAAAATGAACATCAATATTCACACCAATTTGATAAACATGTAAAAGTCTCTACTGTATATAAGGTCCACTGTGCATATAATCTTCCGTGCTTCTATTTTCAAATCTTGTATCAGTGCCACCACAGTGAGAAGCACACACTCACCGACACTCCTGTGACCGATTTGACTAAAGGTCGAGAAGCGTTATTGGTTATATATTTTCCTCCAAGGTATATATTGGCCATCTAATTCACTTCCTCCATAGTTTCCTTTCTTGCTGAAACAGCTCTCCAGAAATGAACCATACCACCAAACCAAAGAGAAAAAAGGCTATAGTGCATTATTTTTATTCATATAAAAGGCATATAAGTTAAAACTATTGCGCTCACATCAGCTTGTGCCCAAGATCAGCACAGATGTAAACAGCCTGTGTTGAATCACGATCCTTCCCAGGATCAGTGTGCGTTTCACTGACTGGAAAGGAGCGAGCTGGATGTGATGCCACTGGAACCGGATATGACAACTCTCAAGGGCCTCAACTAGTTTTGCTATTCGCGCTTTCAGGAAGCCACGGAGCTGCCATTTTCTAAACAATTTTCAAGCCACCCATTTGTTCCTAATTGGTTGAATTGGTCTAACCATATTTAGGCTGTTTGCATAGCGCGGACCATATGGGCTTCACAATATTCATCTATTTGCTATATGTACATGATTAAACACATATTACCCATTACAATCAATGCTAAATATATATATATATATTTTTATATTTATTTTGAAAATAAGAACTTCTCAAATAGATGCACAAATAAGAATTCCCGGCCCTATTTATTCTACAGCACCACCTAGTGGGAAAAAATACTAAACACATCCTACCTCACTTTTACTTGGTTGTGTTATATACAACCAAGTATATATGAACTCCTAAACCTCTAGCTATATAACCTAATATTATTATAACAAAAATTATATATATAATATATATATATATGTAATATAAAAATAAAAAAAAAAATTAATAAATGGCTCCCGCTGTTGCCACAGTCAGTCAGAAGTGAGAGTCCCCCGAGAATCGAGGCTCTCATGGACAGCACTGGATTGGGATAGGGCTCAGGTAAGTGTTAGGGGGAGCAGAAGGTTTTTTAACTTTATGCATAGATTGCATGACAGTAAAAAAAAACCTTGACCCTTTGGAACCACTTTAACCACTTGCCTACCAGGCACTTATACCCCCTTCCTTACCAGGCCAATTTTCAGCTTTCAGCGCTGCCGCACTTTGATTGACAATTGCGCGGTCATGCAACATTGTACCCATATGAAATTTTGATCATTTTTTTCTCACAAATAGAGCTTTCTTTTGGTGGTATTTAATCGCCACTGGGCGCTTTACTTTTTGCGCTATAAATAAAAAAATGCAAAAAATTTGAAAAAAAAATAATTTTTCTTTGTTTCTATTATAAAATTTTTCAAACAGGTATTTTTTCTCCTTCACTGATGAGGCAGCACTGATGGGCACTGATAGGCGGCACTGATGGGCACTGATAGGCAGCACTAAAGGGCACTGATAGGCAGTACTAATGAGGTGGCACGGATAGGCGGCACTGATAGACAGCACTAATGAGGTGTCACGGATAGGCGGCACTAATATGCAGCACTGATAGGCGGCACTGATAGGTGACACAGGTGGGTGGCACTGGTGGGCACAGGTGGGTGGCACTTCTGGGCACAGGTAGGTGGCACTTCTGGGCACAGGTGTGTGACACTGCAGAGTGGCACAGGTGGGTGCACTGCAGGGCACAGGTGGGTGCACTGCTGGGCACAGGTGGGTGATCTGCTGGGCACAGGTGGGCGGAGCTAGTGGGCGCACTGCTGGGCACAGGTGGGCGGAATTTGCGGGTGGCACTGCTGGGCACCGATCATCAAGGCACTGATCATCAGTGTCCTGATGATCGGTGCCGATCCCCGCTGTGACAACTGCCGGTTCTCGGCAGTACTTTCCTCACGATCTGACAGCGTGAGGAAAGTGCAGCCGAGAACCGGCACTTGCATTTCCCTGTGATCAGCGTGTCATTGGAAACCGCTGATCACGTGGTAAAAGGCCGCTGGGATCGGCCTTTTAGCACATCACGTGATCAGCTGACGTCCACCCAGAACTGGCCGGCCGCAGTGAAGCCGTCATTCGGCTATCTGCGGTCGGCAACTAGTTAAGGTCTATGGGGAGTTAGTGGGAGACTTCCTTTGTCAGAAAGTATAAGTATCCACCTGGGAAAAAGGGATAAACATGTACCTGCAGCAGGAGCGTTTTCAGAATGCAGTGGGCCTGTGTGCAAGAGCATAAGCTGGGCCCCATGTGGACCTGCAACAATGTACATCATTTAACACCTCCCCTACCTTCAGTAACAAAGCTAAGTGTGGCAAAATGCTGGGTGTGGCCAGACTGCTAACAATATATCTCTTGCTGTGGCTGCAACATGTGTACACCCCCAGCTGCTGCCTCTGCAGCAAAGGGAGGTAAGAATGTAGCTCAACTGCATGGTTATACGGTTCCCCAATCTCACATGTGACTGAGCCATTAGATATTTCAGGTTATTATGGTATCTACTGACACAAGTGGTGAGGATTATATTGCATCCACCAACACCAGTGATAGGGGTAATATTATGTCCAGGGCCACCAGTGCTGTGTGTTAATATTGCGGCCACCAGCGCTGAGGCTTATTATTGTGTCCACGGCCACCGGTGATGCGGCTTAATGCATCCACTGCCATCAGCATTGGGGGGTTATATTGCATCCATTACCACCAGTGGGGGGAATTAATCTTGTATTCACTGCCACAAGTGCTGGGGCTTGATTTTTTGCCCACTGACACTAGTGCTGGGGGTCATTATTGTGTCCACTACTACCAGTGCTGAGGCTTATTGTGTCCACCACCACAAGTGCTGGGTGTTATTGTTGCGACCATTAGCATCAGTGCTGCGGGTTAATATTGCGTTCACTAACACCATTGCTTGGGATTAATACTGTGTCCACTGACACCAGTGCTGGAGATTATATTGCATCCGCTGACACCAATGCTGGAAGTTATATTGCATTTACTGACATCAGTGCTTGGGGTTAATATTGCAATACGGCAAGGAACACTTTTTAAGTGTATAGCATCAAGTCAGTTAAACTCCTGGGATATTGATCTGGTCAGTTAAGTAGCAGAAGGGGTTATTAATGAGTTTCAGCTGCTTTGGTGTTAATGAAAATAACAAGAGGCGCACTAAATGGACAACAATAAGACGTTCCCCAAAGCAGGAATGGTTTTACAGGTGGAGGCCAGTGACATTTTTTTTCCCTACTCATTTTTTTTTTACTGTTTTTCACTAGTTTTGCATTTGGCTAGGGTCAGTGTCACTACTGGTAGCATGAGGTGATACCTGGACCCTACAGAGGTTGCACAGGCAGTCCAATTCCTCCATCAATCTGTGCCATTGCCAGGAGGTTGTCTGTGTCTCCCAGCACAGTCTCAAGAGCACGGAGAAGATTCCAGGAGACAGGCGGTTACTCTAGGAGAGCTGGACAGGGCCGTAGAAGGTCCTTAACCCATCAGCAGGACCGGTATCTGCTCCTTTGTTGAGCACTGCCAGAGCCCTACAAAATGACCTCCAGCAGGCCACTGGTGTGAATGTCTCTGACCAAACAATCAGAAACAGACTTCATGAGGGCCTGACGTCCTCTAGTGGGCCCTCTGCTCACTGCCTGGCAGCATAGAGCTTGATTGGCATTTGCCACTGAAACCAAAATCGGCAGGTCCTCCACTGGCACCCTGTGCTTTTCATAGATGAGAGCAGGTTTATCCTGAGAACATGTGACAGACATGAAAGGGTCTGGAGAAGCCGTGGAGAATGTTATGCTGCCTGCAACATCGTCCAGCATGACACTTTTGGTGGTGGGGCAGTGATGGTCTGGGGAGACATATCCATGGAGGGACGCACAGAACTTCATGTGGCAAGAGTATGCAGACAGTTCCTGGAGGATGAAGGAATTGACAGCCGGGTGCCCACTGCACATGTGCTGCACTTTGTGAATGATCCGGTGTCTTCTGGGACACATGACAGGTCCCAGATGGCGCCGGGCCATTCACAAAGTGCAGCACATGCGCAGTGGGCACCCGGCTGTCACAGAAGCCGGCTAGGGAAGAAGAGGGAAGGACAACTCCGCGGAAGTGGGAGCGGGTACCTGTCAAATTCAGGTACCCGCTCCCCCTCCCTCCCCAAAGGTCAGCAGTCTCTGGTCATTCCCTGCACTGTCTACAGTCTCTGGTCATTCCCTGCACTGTCTACAGTCTCTGGTCATTCCCTGCACTGTCTGCAGTCTCTGGTCATCCCCTGCACTTTCTACAGTGTCTGGTCATCCCCTGCACTGTCTGCAGTCTCTGGTCATCCCCTGCACTGTCTGCAGTCTCTGGTCATCCTCTGCACTGTCTGTAGTCTCTGGTCATCCCCTGCACTGTCTGCAGTGTCTGGTCATTCCCTGCAGTCTCTGGTCATTCCCTGCACTGTCTGCAGTCTCTGGTCATTCCCTGCACTGTCTGCAGTCTCTGGTCATTCCCTGCACTGTGTCCGCAGTCTCTGGTCATTCCCTGCACTGTCTGCAGTCTCTGGTCATTCCCTGCACTGTGTACGCAGTCTCTGGTGATTCCCTGCACTGTGTCTGCAGTCTCTGGTCATCTCCTGTACTGTGTCCGCAGTCTCTGGTCATCTCCTGTACTGTGTCCGCAGTCTCTGGTCATCTCCTGCACTGTGTCCGCAGTCTCTGGTCATCTCCTGCACTGTGTCCGCAGTCTCTGGTCATCTCCTGCACTGTGTCCGCAGTCTCTGGTCATCTCCTGTACTGTGTCCGCAGTCTCTGGTCATCTCTTGTACTGTGTCCGCAGTCTCTGGTCATCTCCTGTACTGTGTCCGCAGTCTCTGGTCATCTCATGTATTATATCCGCAGTCTCTGGTCATCTCCTGTATTGTGTCTGCAGTCCATTGGTTCAGAATATTTTTTTTTCTTGTTTTTCGCCTCTAAAACCTAGGTGCGTCTTATGGTCAGGTGCGTCTTATGGAGCGAAAAATACGGTACATATTTGAAAAAAAATATTTATGGTAACATATACTATGAGTGAGCTTTAGACAAAGTAGAAACAAATACTTTGGAGTCCAAAAGTTGGGAGTACAAATTATAAGAATACATTTTGGAGCTCTCAAAGGCCTCATTCATTAGGGCTCAATTTGCTAATTAAAATAGAAATCTTATATATTTAAAAAATGGACCGTGCTAAGGTCACAAATTGACAAAATAAACTGTGTAATCTTTAAAGTGATAACACTGAGCAAAATACAAATAAAATATTGATATTCAGTCCCAACATGTGAATAAATGGTGCAACTGTGCTGTATCTTTAACGGTGATACTCCATACTGAAATGACAAGTGCTTCACTGTGTTCATATTGGTGCCCCACATAGATGTAAACTCACCATCATTTCATGACCACCTATCTCTAGATAAGTCACACTCTCTTTTTGGGACTATCCCAGTTTGCAATCAGGTCCTGATGGCCGATATTCCTTCGCCCTTATACCGTGGTTGCTGGTAGTAACCAATAACTTTCCACTAGATCTGCATCAATGTTAGGCAACTCCTCTCCTCCACAGGCAGTATTTCATATTTTCAGCATAAATCAAAACAAAACCAGACATTCCATAGTGAAAAACTGTATAAAACATTAATATGGGGTCAAACAATAGAAATGCCGCTCACAAAAAAATGCCTTTCCTGGCACTAGGTGTATTCAGCTTTGTGTATTATGAATGGGAATTAAGATGGCTGCCACATTCCGGGGTGAGTTCCAAATACCGGAAGTGACGTCAGCAGAAGTTGCGTCATAAGCCCTCGACTAGCTTCGACCAATAGATTATCTTCAGAAAATACACTGGTACTTAGCACAGTCCATTTTTGAAATATATAAGATTTTGTGTCTAAAAATTCACATTTAGGACTGCTGCTATATAGGTTTCTTATGTATAGTTAATCCTTTCACATATATATCAATTAATTTTTTTTCCTAAGTGCAACAGCACCCTTTTTTTTCTTTCAAACAAATTAAAATAGAAAGACATTGGAACAATCAGATGCTGAAGCCAGCTTTTTAACCAGAACATTTCTACTTTGAACCCTTTGAGGCCTGTATCATCTTATTTCTAATTTTTGTTAGCATATATACCTTCAGTAGAGTCTAATCTGCTACTAGAGGCCTGTTAACCCTTACCTGTTCCCATTTGAGTAATGCCATACATGAAATCACAGGAGCCTGATATCAAGATAAATTCATATACTTATATTAGTTGCATATAAAAATACATGACTCATTTTACTGAATACATGATTAACACATTAAATGGTGCTTATTTGTATATCTGTCTGGGGGGTAGCTTTAAAGGGATGTGTTGACATCTCTGTCCTCTATTATCATCCCTGTTTTGTGACTTTACATTTTAGAATTGAGGGATTTACTTTGATCTAGAACAGCTTTGTCTTTCCAGTTTTGGGAAATATCATATACTTAAAAAGGTTGATTATAAATGAAGTGTCTTCTGATGGCAGCCCCTAAGCAATGGTGATTCAGCAAGTTAAGACAGCACACGACTAAGATTTATGTGTTGAAATGGAATTTGGCCTAACAAATTGATAGTGCTTTGTTGAGCAACTTTGTGTGCTTGTATACTAAACAACACTAATATATTACTTTAATGCTACTGATCATTGCTGACAAGTTACTTTCTCATAGATTATAGAGATAAATCACTAATGGAGCATTCTATTACTGTAGTCTAAGCTTACATTAACCATTTGCCAACTGCGTTAGAGCTGAATGACAGCTACGGTGCTGTTGTCAAGTTCTGGGAGGGCATCATATGACGTCCTCCCAGAACGAGTCCTCCCATGCTCCCCCAATGGCGTGCACTCGGCGATATCCATGACACAGCTGGTCACGTGATTGAATGGCCCCCACACTTGCCTGACCTAAATCCAACAGAACACCTCTGGGATATCATGTTTCGGTCCATCCGCCGCTGCCAGGTTGTACCTCAGACTGTCCAGGAGCTCAGTGATGCCCTGGTCCAGATCTGGGAGGAAATACCCCAGGACACCATCCGT